ATGTTTCTTGTGTAGCAGTGCAATCATGCCATTTGCAGCTCTTGTGATTTATTCCTCACTGCTTGGCTTTTACTGGTTTTTTAATTCTGCAGCTCAGCTCTCACTCAGCAGAACTCCAAACTGCTAAAGTTTATCTTCTTCGTCTTCAATGCCATTCCTCTGAATGAACACCGTATGACATGCACTGGAAGTCGTAGCCCTCTATGGAATTATCAGGGAGGTAATTATGTTGATTCGCAATTCTCATGAATGCATGCCACCAAGAATGGTTACCTTCCTTAATCAGTTGAGAACATTTGTTCAATCTAATGTGGCACATTCATATAAGCCCATGGTAGCAGATAAAGTAAGAGAAATTTACGACAGAATAAGAAAATGTTGCATGAAGGTCCCAAATATGTTCAGCTAGAAAAACCAACCAATTTAGCCTGTTTGGATAACTGATCCTGTGTGGTTCACGTAGTATGAGTTACACAACCCTTAGCAAAAAGTAGTATACTTGAAGTAAATTCTATTAAGAATACTTAAGTATAAGTTTAGAAAGTATACCCGAACAATGTACTTTTGTATACTTGAAGTATTACTAAAATAATACTTCTTTAAACTAAATTGGTATACTTAAAGTATACTTTAGTAAACAATAAAGTAAACAATTGTACTTGTATATACTTAACAATAGTATAGTCAAGTGTACTTGACTATACTATTGTTAAGTATATGAAATATAGTTTAGAATAAGTAAACTCTTAAGTGCACTGCCTGATTTTAAGTATGAAATTAGTGCACTTTTAGTATACTTGAATAAACTACTTTTTGCTAAGGGAAAATAAACAGGAAATTTAAACCTGTGCATCTAATTCTTGTTTTTGAAAATCAAAGAAGTTGTTTAAATATTCCAGAAAAGAAAAGGAACAGTTAAATGTGGAAAAGCCTCAAATTTAAGAGACATTAATGGACAGATCGACATTCAACCAGAAAAATATTCTCTTAAGTGATAATTTTAACAACTCACCATACAGGTACTACAAAAGTACATCTTTAGATATTTCTTGCATAATTTTGTGGCAAATGCTTGATGTAAAGTTCTCCATCAATCAAGTGAGGAAATTTTAAACGTCCTAATTATTTTTTTTTTCTTCAAAAAAAATATTGATTCTTGGACAGGATGACTGAAATGATAAAAAGACAAAGTTGATCTTACACAAAGTCCGTCTCTTCCCTGAGCTGTGCCACGGGTTGAAAGACCATTGCTCTGCGACGCATCCCCAGCAGGCAGGCAGTGTCCTCTGAGTTGGTGTAGACTCGCCCTGTTTTAAAGGGAAACGTCAGCTTTTATAACCGAGCCCCGAATACACAAGGAACAAAATCCACCCAAAATCTCGTTCATCTGCATGCACAGTACAGAAGGTTGGCCATAAAGCACTTTGACGCACCTTCTTTGTATGACTCCTTAAGGGTTCGTGTGATCCACTGAATGGCTTTAGCTGCCACCTTGGTGCCGAAATTCCTGTCGAAAGGAGATGGAGCTCCGCCCTGTTGAATGAAAGATTATGGAAAATCTTTTAAGACTGCATCCAACAAAAAAGTGGCACACTTAAATTAAACTTATTATGGTGTTCTGATATAAAACCTTAAATTAATAAATATAATTTCAGTTTAAAATAAGTCATAAAATACTCACTTTACTTGGATTTATCACTTTACTTGGATTTTCACTTTATTTGGATTTAGTTTTTACATATGCATAGATAGACGTAAGTATATATAGATATATATATATACAGAAGAGCTATATGTGTATATATTTTTATCTCTTTTTATTCTTATTTTTTATCTTTATTATATTGTGTAGTTGGATGTGTGTATATATTATATAAAACTGTAACTGGAGCGTGTAACAAAAGTAATTTCCCTCTGGGATTATTAAAGTATTTCTGATTCTGATATTTGCAAAAAACAAGCCCAAAGTTTTGTTTTCTCTGGTGCAGCAGCTAAAGCCCCTTTCACACCTTGACGATTTAGACTTATGCCTTACGTACAAAAAATCTGGCAAAAATGCTGGCAAACGTTTGATAAGTTATGGGTACATTTTGTATAAGTTATGAGCACACTGAAGCGCACTGGCACTCATCAACATACAGCAATTATGGCACACTTGCTGACATGCGTTCTTGAGGTATGCCATACGTAGGGCATAAGTTACAGGTCATTTATCTGATGGTTGACATACGTTAACTTTAAGTTACTCTTAAGTCGTGGTGTCTAGCGTATCCAAAACCTATGAATAATGTGTGCATAACTTCTGCGTAACTTATCAATAAATAAAGGCTCGATGTTAGAGGCTGACTGTGGTTCAAAGAGAGAGAAGCAGACATACAAAAAGAAGCATAGACACAAAAGGTACTGACTCCTTTAACTGAGTGCAGAGCACATTTAGGGTAATAAGCGTATTAGCCTGTGGGTCTGACCTGCTGCATGTGACCCAGGATGTTCTTCCTGCAGTCGAACACGCCTCGACCTTCCTCAGAGTACAGCTGGTAGATGAAGTCAGTGGTGAAGTTTTCGTTGCAGTTCTCGTTACTAAAATAAAACAGATGCAAGAGGGAAAATGAGACAAACAAACATTAGGAAATCATCTTTTTGCACTGGCTGATTATTTCAATTATTTTGAGGACACTTTTCAGCCTTTGTGTTTGTAGACACCCGGTTTTAGCTCTAAATTTTGTTTCAGAAGCTTGAAGTCTAAGTGTCCTTTAGGAGGCTTTTGTCAAACCCCAGATTGTTTACCATGTGCCTTTTATTAAGGAGTGGCTTTCTTCTGGGCGCTTTACCATTCAAGGCTGATTGGTGGATTGCTGCAAAGATGGTCTTATCTTAAACGTCTTCAATTTACAAATGATTAAAGCTGCTCAGTTTTTGAAACCTTAAAAGCAGCAGAAATATTTCTGTCTCCATCCTCTGATTTTTGCCTCAAGACAATCCTGTCTCACATGTCTACAGACCTTATGACTTCATGCATGTTGTTCATGCATTGTCAGACCTTATATAGACTGGTGTGTGCTTTTCCTAATCATGTCCAATAGACCAGACCATGACGCTGCAACATCATGGTGAAAAATGCAGTGCCGTGAACACCTTCCAGATACACAATAACAATAGACCTAAAAAAGCCTAAAGCAAATGGAACTGCAAATGGCATCAGTAATCAAAATGTGTGTTCTCTCCTTAAAGTAGAGTTGGGAAGGTGATTTAACAAAGTCACAAGGTGTAAATTGTTTCTACATCTGGGCCATGTTGTTTAGAATGACCTACATACAGCCTGCAGTTTTGAACATGATACACTTTTTTTATGTACATATGGCTTCAAGCAAGGGGGATTTTCAGCTTTTATTTTATGTCATTTTGATAAAGAATGTCTATTTTTCTTTTGACTGCTTTATCAAAAACAGGTTTTTGAAGAGAAAACCAATGTTGGCTTTGCATCTTACTCATGGCTCATAAGAGACATTAAAATGGAAAAACCTTTTTTCTGTTAAATAAGTTTTCTTTAGAAATTTGAAAACTTTTTTTTCCTAACAATCTGGCATGGAATTTTTCTCCTTTTCTAGATGAATTAATAAAACAAATAAACAAAAAAATCCTAAAGAGCTTAATCCAAAAAGCTGTAAACTCTTAGGATAATGCATCTCTTAGCTTCCCGTCCCATTTTCTTCTTCATTTTCTTAAATATAGAACTTTTGGATAGCGGGTACCTACTGTAGTGAGCCATGATGAAACAGCATGAAATGTACAAGAATTGAACAAAGCAGACAGATTCCAAAATCAAATATTTGAAAACCTAGAAGCAAACTGTAAATAATGAAGATATGGTTTCAAAGATTGTTTTTGTTCATATCACTTTCATTCACTATTCATCAATAGTAGGAAGTAATATTTTGTTATTTTTGATGAGTTTGTTCTGTTTTTAAGTTAATTAAACTCCAGTGTCCTGTGTTTTCCAGCCCTTCAAACACACTCTGATTTCCAGCCTTTTGTAGAAAATAATAATGCAGGTGCAAACCTCAGCACAGCTTCACAATGTCACCTACCCTCTGTCCAAAATATTACATTTGTCCTATTTCCACACAGCCTCATCCTGCTGGGAGCATTTTTAACACCTTGCTGCTGCAGTGGACTAAAATAACCACATTACAGAACATAACAGAAAGTCTGAAGGGTCATTTTGAGGTTTAAACAACCAGGAAATAACATAATAACTGGAAAATAGCATAACCTTTTTGAACAATGACAACAATAGAAACATTTTTATGACAGCTGAAAATCTTCAAACACGTACTTGCTGGATGTTGATGTGTCAAATAACACAAGAAGGTACTAAATTGAAAATAGAACAATCTTTCACTGAAAGAGTAAAAAGAATGAAAACTCACCGCAGCACCAAACCTCTCTGGATGCTGGTCTTCATTTTCTGTGTCAGATGCTCGACGTTGGCCTGAAAATAAAGAGAAATGGGAAGTGAACGCCTGCAGCCTACAACCTCTGCAAGAAGCAGCAACTCTGTGAGGCTCCTCAGTGCGTTTGCGCCTCCTGACACTGACGCGCAGTGCAACAAATTCACCACCAGAGGGCACCACAGCAAAGCTTTTAACATCTTTGAAAGTATAGTGAGGGCTCAGGATTTTCATCACCATATAAAAAAACATTACTAACAGCGTAAAGGTGTTTAAATAATGAGGAAACTGATCGTATT